AAAATGAAAGGATGATATTCAAAGATGCTTGCTGCCAAGTTCAGGCCTGGCACACTGGCCAAAACTGCTACACAACAGTCCTGAAACACTGTCCCATTCTTGCACCAAAATAGCATACAAGGCACTGTCTCTCGAAAGCTACAAAGAGCAGGTTACTCAAATTGTTCAAACCTTTTGTTTTCTCTCCAAAAGCTTCGGACAACCTTTCCTATAAATAAAAGGCTCCAACACATGTTTGAGGAGGACTTTTGGGCCAAAGAAACGAATCTTCAATTTTCTCAAACACCATAAAGTTCTCAAACACTTAAACACTTATGAAAACACAAACCCAGAATCCAAATACTTGTCTCCTTCAAATCTGAAACATCCTTACATATTGTTACCCTTCGAATCCAGCAAGAAAGACATTTCACTTGTTTTTCTCTTTCGAATCCGGCAATAGAGACGCTACCCTTGCTCCTTCTCTTTGATTCCAGGGACACTCAAGACAACCACCTAAAGGCCTAGCACACGTCCCATCCTCAAGCAAGGTAAGTCATCCTTAACCTTGGATCTTTTGTTTCCAGCACAACATGTAAATAAAATTCCTTTTCGTTTCAAACATATACATAACATTTGTTCCCCTTTCGTTTACACCCTTATAGTTTATTTTTATTGCCTTTCCTTTGAGTTTTGTTCTTTGGTTTCTTACAAATGTTTTAAGAACTAACCTGGCCTTAAGGCAATGCTAGCATGGCCTTAGGCCATGTTTCTATTTAACATCTCAAACGAAGGAAACAGGAAACAGGAAGTAGGGAACGAAGCCTTTGGCTTCCACACTAGCCTCCAGGTCAAACGAAAGAGGCAGCCAGAGGGTATACCATGCTGACTTTTAGGCCCAGACGAAATGCACTCCCTCACTGCTTTCAACCCCCAGTCAAAGGAGGAAGAAAGGCAGATTGCATCTTTCACTGGTTCCAGGCCCAATCGAAAGGCACAACATGCTGACCCCCAGGCCTTAGTCAAAAGTCATGCCTTCACCCTTTTCAAGAAAAATCAAAGAGAGACAGAAAGTGCAGAATCAAAGGGTTTGCTGCCCTAAATCGAAAGACCCATTTTTCTTGATTTTGTTTTATTTTTGCCTTTATATTTTTATTCAATTCAATATGGTTGTAATAGTGTAGGATTTTATCTTTCTGCATTTTATTACTTTTGTATGATTGCTAGTAAAATAGGATATGTATGTCAAGATAAAAACAACAAGTAGACAATCCCTAATCAAATACTAAATGCATGCAAATCAAACACACTATTCACACATGCACCCTTAGGGTAATCTCACTTGTTGCCTCAGAAAAATAGTCATATCCCTCGAATATGAGCGTTTTAGCAAAGACCCTCGATAAAAGATCGTAGTCCCTCGATGACCCTCAATATTGCATTCGGTAAACGATCTAGTCCCTTAAACGACATTGCTAAAATGTCCCATAGGTTGCCTCCTATGACTATACAAACGTCCCACGCCCGTCCCTTCACATCCAATGATGGGGTTTCTTACCAAATCAATGGTAAGATAGCAACATCTAAAGGAGGAGGAAAATAACATTTAAGACCTTTTGAGTAGGTAGGTTGCTCCTAGTTGCTTGCTTGCTCACAACAAAAAAATATTTTATACACCAACACTCTCATTTTGAAACATTTTCAAAATACAACACTTTGTACGCGTTCTTATAGAAACGAGAATTATTACAAAGACCCCTTTTCGAAATCACTTTCAAAAATACATTCCACAAACACTTCTTTGAACTATTTTCCAAACAACACTTTGTACGCGTTCTTATAGAAACGAGATCCATTACAAAGACGTTTTCAAAATATTTTCAAAAACTCACACCACAAGCACATTTTCAAACAAAAGCAAGTGATCTAGCAAGCAACTAAGATCCCGTAGATAACTACGGATGAAAAGGATGCTAATACCTTCCCTTTTCATAACCTACCCCCCGAACTCAAGAAAATAGTCTCGAAAGGCCTTTCCTGTTCTTTTCAACCTTTCCTTATTGGGTAAAAGAGAAGTCGGTGGCGACTCTTGCTATCTGCAACAATTGCGATCAAACGCAAAAAAAAACTCAAGTCAGTTCTCCCGCCGCGTTACAGTGAGTCACTAAATACCTCTATCTCCAAGTATTTTCCACACTTAAATAAGTATGTTATATGTCCCAACCGCCTTACTGTTACTTATTCTTTTCAACATTTCCTTTACCTCATGTTTCTAAATCTGACGACATTAGTTATAGTTTCGATCCTCTACTACAATGTCGAGTCTTCTAGAGTCTAATGAGATATCATATCCTTCATTAAATAAATTATGGAAATACGTCTTCCCCTTGTCTTTATATATGTTTTATGAACTAAAATTTTGTCTTCTTCATCTTTAATACACTTCACTTGAACCAAATCTCTAGTCGTTCTTACTCTTCCCTTAGCAAGCCTATATATTGTTTTTTCTACCTCCTTGATTCTTAGAGATTGGTATAATCCGTCAAAAGTTTGAGTTCTTGCTTCGTTCACCACCTTCGTAGTCTCATTCAAGGATGAAAAAATGAGTTGCCCGCCTCGCCTTAAACCCGCCAAAAAAGAGCAGGGCAGGCAAGTCCACCAAATAGAAATGGGCATAAAAATCTAACCGACCACGCTAAGGTGGCGGACTTGCCCGCCTATTTATTTATATTCATTTTTTAATAGATTAATAACCTCTTTTTTTTTTTACATTTCAATTAGATTTTTCACTTGTTTTTTAGAATAATTTTTTATAAAGCATCTTTTAAAAAAAATTTACTTAAAAAAATATTGCATATATTCACGAATAAATGTATAAAATAAAACCATCAAGAATTGAAATTACTAGAATTAAATAAAAAAAATGGCGGGCTTAATGCAGAACGGGCTGAATGAATATGAGGGACGGGTTTTGGTGACGGTGGATCCAAAATCTCAACCCAACTTGCCATTTTTTGGCGGGTGCGCGTGCCAGCCTGACGGACCACGACCCGTTTTGTCACCATAGTCTCATTATTAGCTTTCTTGTACTTTTTCCAAGTTTCGGAATTTTTACACCTAGACCACTCTTTAAACAATTATTTTTTACTTTAACTTTACACTGGTCACTTCCACTCCACTACCATGATTCTTTACCCATAGGTCTAAAACCTCTTAATTCACCTAATGTCTCTTTATCTATTTTTCTAATCTCTTGGGTCATCTTATTCCACATATCATTTGCACTTTTTTGTGAATTGTCCAAACCCTTCCTCCAAGATCTTGTGTTGGAAAATTCCTTGTTTTTCACCCTTCAAATGCCGCTACTTGATCTGTGACACTGCCATATGACTTATTCTCTTTGCTCTCGCCTTAATTCTTACATGAATAACCAAAACTCTGTTGGATAGTCAAGCTCTCTCCCAAAATAACTTTTCAGTCCAAGCAAATCTTCCTATCTGACATCCTGACAAGAAAGAAATATATCTGAGAACATGTCACCCCACTTTTATATGTAATAAGACATTCATCTCTTTTCCTAAACGATTTATTTTCTATAGCAAGATCTAAAATCAACGAAAACTCCAAGGTGGATTTATCCTCCACATTCACATCCCTCGTACACACTTTCAAAACCTCTTGTTTTGCTACCCACATGTCCATTGAGATATGCTCTTAGAAAAAACATCTCTCCTAGAAAAAAAACCTTTTAAATCCTTCCAAAATTTTACTTTAAGGTGTTCTGCTAACCCAATTTGAGGTGTGTAAGCACTAATAACATTGGAGGTTTTTTGGTCCACTACAAATTTTTAGGCTATGATTCGATCTCTTACACTTTTCACATCCACAATATCCTTCTTCCACTCCTTGTCCATAATAATCCCCACCTTATTTCTTGATTTAACTTTTCTGGTGTACCAAAGCTTAAATCTCAAATTGTCTAATTCTTTCATTTTTTCACCTGTCCGATTAGTTTCTTGTATGCACATAAAATTGATCTTCATCCTAACCATAGCATTCACTATTTCCATCTTATTTTTTCGTAAATGTGTCTATATTCCATGATCCAAAGTGAATCCTCCTTTCGTGAACTAACTTTTTTACCCACACTCGTTCACGAAAATGTGGAAACCCTTATTTATTTTTCACTACATCCAAGCAGCGATACGGTGGCCCTTGCTATTTTGACATTGTACTCGAGCCATACAACGTGTTACTTACTGGTGACGATCTAACATTCACATTATTTCACTATTGATCCGCGTGATAGAGATTCGACAAATTTTACGTTGGTTGTCGATTGCCTAATACAACCCACTCTTTTATCGGGGTTTGGGTCTGACTATGTATAACAAAACTAGCCTAAGCAGGATTCAACTACCAGATGTAAGGATTTTTTCCTTTTGTTTTGAAAACTCAAATTGAATCATATTGATAAAAAATGATGAAATGGGAGTCGAAGAGTATAATGTTGATGAATGTAAAATTATAAAAATGAAAAAATTAATCCATATATCTAATAATTACATCTTATATTTAGAGAACCTTTCACTGACCAGCTACGCCCCAATGACTGGAAAAATTCTAAGGGATGAAAATTCCTACCAGCGTAAATTTTATAATACCTGAAACTTCATAGCCTAGCAACTACCTCAACTAAAAATTACTAACATACTAGTATTTATAAGCATAATTGAAAAGAGAGTATTCTTAGCATTTCTCAACATAAAGGAGTGCTAACAAGACTCTTTTGAACACTCTCTCAACTACATGTTAACAATTTAGAGACTTATTGTAAATCATTATGAGTACATCAGTATAAAGACCAGGTTATAGAAAAATAAGTTATTTTCAACATTTATATATTTTATTGGAGTTTGTCTTCATCAAAGTTGAGAATACCTAACATTCAGTGTATCTGAAGTTATGAGCAGTCAAAGAAATTGAAGGATTACAAATGTAAACATAAATGGTTGAGCAGCTCAACTAGAAGAAGCAGCTTCTTTATAGTTCTCTGTCTCGCTAGTTTCATCTTCGTCTAAGGTTGGAGCTTTTGGAAGGAGACCGAGAACTTTAAACATGAGTTGATCAGTATCAAAATCATTGTTAGCAGTTGTGAGAAGCTTTTCACCAGCAAAGATAGAATTGGCACCAGCAAGAAAACACAATGCTTGCTCAGGCACGGAGAACCGAACTCTGCCGGCTGATAACCTCACCATTGCTTTTGGCATTGTTATACGCGCTGTCGCAATCATGCGAATCATCTCCCATATTTCAACAGGCTGGTAAAAGTGAACAGATTAGTCAAGTTCTTCATAGATAATAACTCGAAACATTATGATAGCAACAATTTGACGCCTATGAAGCAACGATTCTTACTTTAGTTTAACAAAATAACCAGTTTAAATAAACTCACCTTCTGATCCTGAAGAGGGGTTCCCTTGACAGCAACAAGTGCATTAATAGGAACGCTCTCTGGATGTGTAGGAAGTGTTGATAATGTATGTAACAAACCTACACGGTCTTCCTCAGCTTCTCCAAGCCCGATAATTCCTCCTGTAAACATTTGTCACCTAGTCAGACTATTATGTGAAAATTTCAAAGAAATAAGGATTTGTAATGAACATGATCTTGGACTAAAGAATAGAACGGGCAAGCTTCACGCAATGGCTGAACTTGACCGAGTGAACAAATCATTGACAAGTTCCAAGGTATTTGAAGTCAATAAGATACTTACCAGAGCAAACATTAATCCCTGCATCACGAACATATTCAAGAGTTTGAAGGCGCTCGTCATAACTCCTAGTTGTGATGATGTTTGGATAATATTCCCGGGAAGTGTCGAGATTGTGATTGTAAGCAGTAAGACCCGCCTTCTTGAGTTCACCAGCTTGATCTTTATCCAGCATGCCAAGGGTACAACACACCTCCATTCCCATTCCCCTAAAATGAGAGATAACCCAAGTGTTATCATATCTAAGTGTAAATTGACAGAGATAATTAAAACAAAAAATAAAAAGAAGTTGAGTTACTTTATTTCTTTAACATATTCAAGTATCTGATTGAAGTTAGTCTTTCTTCCTATTGTATCCCTCCATGCAGCACCCATACAAAAGCGAGTACTCCCAGCCTCTTTTGCCTACAAGAAAAAGATTCTCCACATTACTGAATAAAATTCATAGTAGCACCACACAAGCAATAAGATGCAAGGTTTATGTTTGGAGGATAAAATGCAAGGTTTGTGATAACATCAATTTAGTTCCTAGAGTATTGTTGTCTATGTAATTTAGTCCTAAAGTATATAAATGTAATAAGTAGCACCTTGAGTGCAGCTTGAAGAACAGCCTCCTTGTTCATAAGTCTTTGACCTTTGAGACCTGTATCATATCTAGAGGATTGAGGACAATAAGAACAATCCTCACTACACCCACCTGTTTTCACAGATAGAAGAGTACACTGTTGCACTTCCCTAAAGTTATGAGCATGTCTATGAACCTGAGCCTAATAAAAAATCACAACAAGACAAAATTTCAGTAAAAATCCAACAAAAAATGTATCTTTTCCTTGGTGGGTTTATCTTATCCACTTAAAAATGAAAAGGGGTTTTTGTAAAAGAAAAAGCGTAGTAAAGTTACCCCGTGGAAGAGAAGATCGAGAATGGGAGAGTCGTAGATGGATTTGACTTCATCTTTGGTCCAATCGTTTCTGGGTCCATGTTGAATGGTTTTTTCAGCTTGAATTGCAGCGGCGGAGGAAGTGCAGTATCCGTAAGAAGATCTTGGTTGTGAACGCAAAATAGGTCTTAACCAAAACATTCTTGTTTTCTTGTTCTGAATGAATTGAAAATTGGGTCTTGTTTTCTTGTTCTGAATGAATTGAACAAAAATTGTTGGTTAAGTGTGTTTTGGTAGATCTGCAAAAAACATAGGTATTGACGAGGGAAGGCAATGGAAGTGAAGTTGTTTTGTGTTTTTAGTTGGCCGCCAAAATCTGATGGGTTGGAAATCGACTAAGGCTCACTCTTCCACTCTACAATCAATGGAGTATTAAAACCGCTTTTAAGCCTCAATTCTCAAACAATTTTCTATTTCTAACTATAAGGTTAAAATTCACTTTTTTTAATATTCATATTAAATGCCGCTACAACCCTAATTTTTTTTTAATTATATAATTATCCCACTAAATCCTAATTATAGTTACTATAGCATATACGATTACAACGTTTGATTTTTTGGCGAAGGATATTAAGATGGTTCCAAACTTTAAATTTGTTGTTCATCTAAACATCACTTTGTGTGGTTTACATGGTTGAAACAAGGATCGTGGTGGCTGTTGTTGGAGGGGATCAGTCGCGGTTTGATCGAAATCTGAGGAGTGGCGCGATTTGGTAGCAGCTCTTGGTGGCGTCGAAGTTCGTGAGAGGTGCGGTTGGGATTTATTTCCGACTGAGAAAACGATGCAGATCTGGATGCAAGGATATTTTACTGTAGAATGATTTCAATTCATTTCGTTTTTATTTCAATGATGAACAAGTTATTGACGGGGATAAAAGTGAAAGACTATATTTGAATAATGAGCTCTAAAAGCAAAAAGAAGATTATTTTTAAAGGGATATTTTGTTTCTGCCTACTCCTTACCCCTCCAAATCCCAAGTTTATTTTCATCGTCTATTTCCTAGTATTTTCTAATTGAAGGGTTGACTTTCAATTGAAATTTGATTTTGTAGCTATCAAATGATTTTGAAACCATTTATTAGTGTTTGTCTAGGTGAAGAGTTCAGATCATATCTAATGATCAAAAATTTCAGTAGGAGCAAGTTCGACTTATTGAATATAATATGTTTTACAAGTTTTTCTCGCTTCTGCCGAAAGTTTTTGGTTAGTGAAGAAAAATTGAAAGAGATTACGATGTTCTCAAGTCTTTCTGTGATTCCCTTCTTTTAACATATGATTCCATTATCAAGGAGAACGAGAAACTCAAATCTCAGATACTTATATACATGATTATCATTCAAAAATTTAATCGAGTTTGATTTGTATACACCATCATCACTAGCATCATATGTGTGACTTTAGAAATAGTTATGATTAAAATCATATATAAGAAAATTTACGTGCTGGCGCTGTATTAAAGTGTATTATTATTAATAGTTAGATTTGGCTATGCAAAATATGCAAACTGAAGATTGTACACTATAATAACCACATAGTTGAAGATTTTTAAAACGTAGCAGACTTGAAGGCCAGAATAATGTCAAGAAAACTTGGTAAAAATAGGATATACTACATTTGCTTCTGCAATGTATCTACTTTAGCATTCTTATGACGCATCCAACTGTGGAATATTATATCAGTTGAATGTGCAGTATCTTCATCCTCATCCAGTATTGGCTTGAACCCATCCCGTCAATTGGAGCTTTCCAACTGTAATTAGAATCAAAGATATATCTATGGGTGCTGAAATTGTTTATCTGCTTTGATAGAGTATTATCTTTCATATAACAAGAAGAGGTAAAAGCATATGAATAAAGGAAACAAATTAAGAAACTGAATTGATCTTAGAATAGAGTGGTTTTTTCTAATATAGTTTTACATCAAATATGCTCTGCAAATTACAAGCAGTGTAGTCTTAACAGAAAAATAACAAACTCTTGAACAAAACATATATGTTAATATAAATGTTGCCTTTACTATTTGGCAACAATAGTTAATAGCCAATTTCTTTAATCATGTTGCATATCAATGTAAAAAAGCAACTAAGGGACGCTGCTAAACATGCACTTATACAAATTAAATCTATGATTAAAGAAAATTGGTAATATCAATAATAATGATTTGCCAAGGAGGGAATGATCACCAAGGACCAAATAAATGGATATTCCAATGATGTCAAATTTAGTTACACTTTAAAATGATAAATCTAACATAATTGACAAATAATTTATTATTTTACATATCAAATTGTAAAAGTAAAGTAACTTACCGATCAAAACAAGGTCGGCTAATGTTTATAAAAGATTATGATAAAGAAAATGAGATTCATTTCAATGGTAAATATAAATTAATTGTTCATAAAGTCAGCACTCCAAAACAAACAACATTTGCATGGTTAGGATTGAATTGGATTGCATTACATTAAATTTTTTTTGATAATTTAATCAAATCCTGAATGAAGATAATTTAAAAATAATATTACATATTTCTTTAATCATACTTTTTTAATTAAGATAATTAAAAAATAATGACATTCAAAATATATAATAAAAAGTGATACAAAAAATATTTAAAATAGGTTTAATAATTTTTTTTTTCTCCAAAATATTTGATTTATCTAGAATATAAAAAGCTATATTATAATTTTAATCTTCAATTTTATTTGATTCACGAAAGTAGTCTGTCTATTTTAAATTTAAAAAGTTTTAGTCCGCTCTCACGTTTTTAATAGAAATTTGATGATATTTTTTAATTTTTTAACTTATATTTTTTTTATAAAATTTTACAATAAATTTATATATGATTAATTTTTTTATTATTTTGAAGATTGTTATTGAAGATTAGGTTATAGGTTTGATTTTAATCTCCATATTGCATTTGCATGAACATATTTAACAAAGTTTATTATATTTTGATGGGGTGTTGTCATACATTTTATATTTGTAAAAAATGTAAATAAGATTTAATAAGAAGGTTTTAGGTTTGTAATTTGACGAGAAGCTGTCATACATCGTAGATTGTAAAAAATGTAAATATGATATAATAAGAAAGTTTTAAAACTGAAATTTGACAGAGAGAGATGTCATACATTTTAAGTTTGGAAAATGGGCTAATATCTAAAATAAGTTTAATAAATTTTTAGAATTAACTCATATGGATTCAAATGGGGTTTGTTAACTCATCTGGATTCACGTGTAGATGTGAATGTATCTATGAGATACCGACTGTAGACGGTGAATTTTAATGTATGTCTTTTAAATCTTTCTTTTGTTACTGTTTAATATAATTGAAGTTAGAGAATCGGTTGTACGGTTTATTATAGTACGAATTAATGCTTAAAAAGCAAGTGCATATCATTAGCCTATATTTGTAACTATGTGAATGTCAATCAATTGAAGAATGAATTGATACTCTATAAATGATGGTATGATAGACATGTAATGTGAACTCGGACGGGACCCGTGCGATAGCACAAGTTTCTTACTAGTTAGTCTCTTAACTTCACTTATACTATTATTCTATTTGATCCTTTTATCAATTTCTGATACAAAAAACGTTAAGTTTTTAGTGTCGTGGATGTACAACAAAGCTCAAGGTCTAAATATGACTTATCGTTTGTACTATAAAGGAGCATTTATACTTAATGTAGTTTTATTGTGATCATCTTTATGATACCTACTTAAGTGAAAATCCTACTTTATAATACTAATACTTAGTCACATTTGGACTTTGAGCCTTGTTGTACATCCACGTCATCAGAATTTAATGTTTTTTCTTTAGAAATTGACGGAAAGGACCAAATAAGATAACCGAAGTGAAGTTAAGAGACTAACTTGTAACGTTTTTTAGTTAAGATATTAAAGTTGGGCATTAAATTAAGTTAAAGGACTTGAGAACTAAATATGTCATGAATATTCTATTTAATCACTATTTAAATGTAATAATATTTTATAAATTTTATTTAATTATAATTTAATCGTGATCAATTTTAAATTATATGTAATAATTCGCCTTATATATATTCTCGAATACCACTCTCAATTGAATTTTATAATTCTTAAAATAAATGAATTTGTCACATAGTTCAATTTTGAAAACAAATTTTTTATATATATTAGATCACACAGCGTCACGTATATAAATCCACATCAACTAAATAATTACAATACAAATATGAAATGTTATGTAATCCTTCTCCAAATATATGCGGTATCAAGTTTTTGGGGGGTCAGAGTTATGTTACTGAATTATCCATGTCTTTGGTTCCTCTCTAAATCTGAGATTGTCATTTGTTCTTCTCTGAACCGTTACCTCGTTTACTTATCTCATATATACACGAATGCATAAATCACAACAGTAACATTCACAACTCATATTCAACAAATAACATTCATATCGCGTACTCAATCAGGTTTCTCTCTGAACCCACAATTTTTGTCAATGTAAGACCAACACTATAACTCCTCTCTGAATTACTCAACTCAACATATTATACAATTATAACTCAATGTCATAATTATATATTATTTAAACATACTCATCAACAAAGCAAAATTATTAATATAAGGCTTTATAATACTCCTCAATATAGTAACTCATTATTACTTGTGTAAGGCCATCAACAGGGTAATAATAATTTCACAACTTTTATGGGATTAATATAATCAACTCAAAACATGTAAGGGTTCGCATGATAACTCTCAGACAACTCTAAACAACTCAAAAACAACTTTAATAACTCTATAACAACTTTAAACATATCAGAGTTACTCAAAACAAATAAAAATATGACTCTAAACAACTCAAATTACAACCCTGACAACTCTAACAAATCTCTCTCTTAAACTTATCAAACAATAATAATTTTTTTTTCTGATTGTTCTAATGACGACGTCTTGAGCCCTTTGGGACTATGATTTGACCATAAAAAACTAATAGGTCGAAAATTAGTCACTGAAGGTGAGAAAAATACATAAAAATAAAGATTGAATTATGTATAGTGAATCCATTTAATTCTGAAAAACAGCTTCAGAATCTGAGCAAGTCCAGAATCTAATCACAGAGAGATAAGCAGCGGAATAAATCAAATACATAAGCAATAA